CGAATGGATAGAGAACTTGTGGTATATTCTCACAATGGAATACTACACAGCACTGAAAAACAAGGACTCATGAAACATTTTACTAAATGGGCTACCCTGGAGGACATTATGCTGAGTGAAATATCTCAGTCACAAAAGGACAAATACTGTACAATGCCACTGTTATAAAACAAGACTGACACGAGGTTGGGGAGAAACTAAGAAAAGAGGAGACAAATAATGAACACTGCACTGGAACAAATGAGGGAAAGAACTGTTTAAAAGGTATATATGATTAAGTATTATTTGCATGATAACAGTCCAGAATAAGAGGTGCACAGCAAAGTGGACTGGGGCGGGGGAAGGAGGAAATTGTGCAATGATGAATGAATGGAAATCCAACTTTTCTATAAACTTTGTTAAAATCACAATAATTTTTTTTTTTAAAAAAAGCTATTAACAATAGAGGCCCAGACCCAGAGAAAGACACACTCCTTGAGAAATTAAAAGGTTAGGGAAAAAGAGGAAGACCCTCAACAAGATGCACTGAGACAGTGGCTGCAACAACAGAGGTAAGCAGAGATCGTGAGGACGGCACAGGACCCAGGAGGGCTTCGTTTTGTTGTGCACAGGGTCACTCTGAGTCGTGTGACAGCACCTAACAGAACAGCAACCAGGCAAACGGGGCCATAGTCCTAAAAGTCAAGCCCCTGTGCAGCTGCTGAAGAATTGCTGGATCCAGTGATGCTTGGCTCCAGGACACTGGCAAGGGCTTGCTGCTCCAGTGAGTGGTGCTCCACTCAGGAGTGGGGGTTACAAAGCAAGCCAAGTAGTCCCAACACCCTCCCTACATTTTACACATTCAAGGTATCTACCCTCTGCTTTCCAACACCTCAAGTTCTTAGGCTTTCCGTTAGAATATTGGCAATTTCTCAGGCCTCAGTTTTGTATGGCATGGTCCTTTATGTTTCTCCTGTCCCTCTTTTCTCTTGGCAGTTCCACTGCAGAGGAAGAAGGAACATTCAGCAATTTTAACTCATTCTGAGATGAAGTTAACATCATGAAGGAGACTATGATAAGATATCTCCACTTTCAGGTGAGGCCTAGATGTAGTTCACTCCAATGATAGAAAAATGTCCCCAAGGGGTTCCAGGATCCAGCACAGTGCCCAGGCCCTAGGAGATCCTCCACAAAATGTTCATTAAACCATAAAAGGCCCAACTTACACAATAAAGATCAAACTCAACAGCCTCATGTTAAATTTGATTTGCCATCTGAAATCATTCAATTGTCAACAGCAGAAAGAATTTCTGAATTCCCAAAGTTCCAGGATGGCCCAATCTTTGCTCTGTAGGTTGTACTGTTCTGGGGCCTCTGACTCTCTTATCACAGGGAATTTATATGAGCCTCTGACCTGAGAGTTAAGAGTCTCAGAATTCCCCTCTATGCTTCTACAGATGGGTAGTTCTTGGTTTCTATCTGAATTTCTTCAAGTGAAAGGAACAGCTGTTTCAACAGCAAGATTCATAGGAAATTAATTATTATTTTTTTTAGGGGAGGGAACTGTGGTGAAATACATTGACTACGATCATCTCTGGAATAATGCGCACTTAACAACAACAAACAGCAGATGCTTTACCAGCTCTCCCTTGACCTTGGCTTCTTTCTTTAGTAATAACCCAATGAAAAAAAATGGTCGAAGCTTTTTCTTTTATTACTCTGTGGAAACTTAACTCCCCAGAGATGGCAGCCTCCCAAATACTATCTCCCTGGGCAGGGCCGCGCCCTGAGCAAACATGTTGTGAGTCAAGGGTGGAAGATCTGACATCAGCACCAGCTTCTTCCTCAGTTCTGGCCACCATGGCAGCTGCTGCCTGCATGGCCCACCTACCCCCATCTGTTCCCCAGCTCACAGGGAACAGAGGCCTTACTTTTCCTGTTCTGCTAGGCAGTCAGCGCTCTGGGTGCGAAGTTCCTCCAAAGCCGTCTCCCCTTCCCTGACCTTCGTCAGTAAGGCCTGATGCTCCTGGGTGGGACAAAAGTGGGAAAATCTGGGATGAGAGATTGGCACATTCCTGTATTGGAGCTAAGATGGGCACCAGGAGTGAGACTAGACCTGTACTGGCCTGGGACAGCTGCCAAAAGCAGCAGGCCAAGCTGGTTTAATGGGCACCCTCCCCTATCAGGGTCAGCCCTTCCCACCTGCAGCCCATTGAAACTTCCCAGCCTCGCCCAGCCGCCCCAGGGCAGAGCCTGGCCACTCTTATTCAGGCCCACCTGCCAGTTTCAGCTGCCAACCCCTGAGGAACCAGGCCAAGCAGCTTGTTAAGAAGTCGTGAAACCCAAAACAGGGCAGCTATATAAGAACCCAATTAAAATGGAAATGGAAATGGATTAGACCAGTTAGAGAGAGCTGAAGTTAGATGAGAAAGACCTTTCCATTCCTTAAAGGTTAAAAGGGATTAAGAGGTATCAGCCAGAGGAAGCTGTGAAGTGTCCTTTTTGGCAGCTCTGTGGAAAAGGAGAGGCTCAGTAACCGTCTCAGTCAATCCCTGGGCTCCCTTCCCACCCAGGAGCCTGTCTATGGAAAAGTAAGACTCCGGCAATTACCGTCTCCATCCCTAACAAGCGCCTCTGCAGCTCTCCGATTTCCACCTCTTTCTGCTCCACTCTGTCCTCTTCTCTCTGAAGGGCCACGTTACTCTCTTCTGCTTCTCTCTGGTACCGGTTGAGCGTGACCTAGAACATAGAATACAACCAAAATCAAAGTTATTGCATCAAGTCCATTCTGACTCATGGGAAGTCCACGTGTGATAGAGAACTGTGCAGCCATGGTCTGGGGGGATTCCTGGGCTGTAATCATCACGGAAGCAGATCATCAGGCCTTTCTTCTGCAGCACCACTGGATGAGTTCAAAGTACCTAACTTTCAGTTAGGTCTGACGCAAAGCACTTGTTCCACCAGGAAACCCTAATACAAGATACGATATTGTTAGGTGCTGCCAAGTCGACTATGATGCTCAGCAATCCTCTGAACGAAGGATCAGAACTTTGCCCTAACCTGTGTCATCCTTATCATATAAGGATGTGTAAAATGGAGTGGGGAGAAAAGGGGAAAGGAAAGGAACTTAGATATAAACTTTAGAAAAGATCTAGCGATGTGGGTACTGGGCTTTGGAGCAACAATGAGAGAGAAGAGGTGACTGTGTTGCACATACAGCCCTGTCTCCTGCATGGCTCTGGGACCACTTCAGGGGCCTCCACCGAGATCACAGACCAGTTCTTGGGGTTAAGCAGCACACAGTGGATTGAGCTCCACTTTAAAGTCCCACCTGGACCCTAAGGACTCAGGATTATCAACTCAGGGGACGTCAAGGTTAAAGGGCATGAGACAGTATGCAAAGACAATGTTCTATCTCCTACTTTCATGAGAAATAACTGGAGTCTTAAAAGCTTGCTGGTGAGCTCTGGTGGCCTACTGGCAAGAAGCTGCACTGCAATCTCAGAGGTACACAGTTCGAATCCACCAGATGCTCTGCTGGAGAAGGAGGAACAATCTCTTCCTGTGTCAGTCAGATCTGATTTGACGGTACACACTAAAAAAGTAATGAAATAAAATAAAAATTAAAAAAAAAAAACTCAACAAAACAAACGTATAGGAAAAAAAAAAAGCTTGAGAGCAACTATCTAATATGTAACTACGGTCTCTCCTTGTTTGAAGCAAAGAAAAGGAAAGGTTCATGGAAACAACTGGTGTGGAGGACTAATGACCCACACAACCCTTACCCTTCACGACTCAGACCTGAAGGACTAACCAGATGGTGTCCAGCTACCGCTGACCACTCAGAAAGGAATCACAACAGAAGGCCCTGGATGGAGCAGGAGAAAAATGTGGAACAAACTTAAAATCATTAAAAAGACTGGACAGAGACTGGTGGAACACTAAGCCCAAGGCCCTTAGTCACCATTCAAGTAAAAAATGGACCTCACTCCTGGGGCTCAACTTTCAGTCAAAATCTATAAAGTGAATAACCATCGCAGGGACATACGAACACCTTAGGGAAATCAACTGTACGAGATCAAAAGGGCAGTAGCATTTGCCAGGAATGGAACTCAGAAGGCAGGAAGGATACGAAAGAAGAATGAGCAGAAACGGGAAGCACAGGAAGGAAGGAGAGTGACAGACTGTAATCAACATCAGGAAATCAAATGTCCATGAGGATTTGGATGGAAAAGCAAGGTGGGCTATAAGCTGTCACTATAATCAATAGAAAGGTTTAAAAAACCAAAAACAGTGACACTTGGAACCAATGTCATTTTTCAGTTGGCCGAGTCTTTAATATCCATGCAAATCCTCCTCAGCCACCTCAGCTTACCTCAGCAATGGGGCTTTCTTGCAAATGTAAAAGCAAATAATCCAACAGAAGATACTTCAATGTTTTCAAGTAATACTTTGGTCTCTGTACAAAGTAAAAGCTGGCCTAAGGAAGGGCTGCTATGCACCAGGAAGAATCTGTCTTTTAAGGAAGATAGGAAAGCAATTTGGAAAGGATCAAGGCAGATTTTTAAAACTAGAAATGCCCTCTCATTTTTCTCCTTTCTGGCTACCTGTATCTTGTTGATACCTACTCATCTTTAGGTCTCAGTTCAGACACCTCTCTGGGAAGTCTTCAGGGCCAGGGAGGTGTCCTTCCTTTGTGGACCCACAGGGCATACATGTGCTTTCCTCTCACAGCATGTACTGAATTTTACCTGGTTATTTGTGTGCACAGCCCAAGATGCTGTCAGCTTCCTTGTGTCAAAGATCTCGGGCCTCATTATATTCCCAGAGTTCAGCATAGTGCTGATCATACAATACCTACTCTATGAAATTAGAGCTGATCGTCAGCTACTCCAGTTTTTCCTTTCACAAGTAAAAGTCAACTCATCTGCTGAAGGTTCACAGAGAGTCAATGAAGTGCCAATGTTAGAACCCAGTTACTGTCATTTCAACTCTGTCCAATCACCCGAAAATGCCTCTCCATTCACTTTCTAAAAAACAATCTGGGTAACCACCAGCAGGCCTAACTATTCCTGAGAAAGAAAACAGCAGCAGCCAGTTTGCCCGGCTCCTCCCTGTCAGTCAGGGAGTGAGCAAAGCACAGGATGATGTGTGACAGGTCATGTCCACACTGCACACCAGCCCTGTCCACAGCAAACTCGCCACAAATCCATCCTGACAGTAGCAGCCAGTAGAACAAGAAAACCAACCTTAATGGCAGATTAATTTCACGATAATTGACAAACCTGACCTTGCCAATCCCAGGTTCAGAAATACTCAATTCTGACTCACATCACCTCTAAAGTACAGAGCACAACGGCACTGTGGGGTTTCCACGGCTGGAATCTCTATGCAAACAGACTGCCACAGCTTTCTCACTCGGAGCAGTTGTTAGTTTCAAACCATCCACCTTTTGACTTGCAGTTGAATACTTAACCACTGGATCACCAGAGCTCCTTTCTGAAAAGTAAACCAGCATCTAATTCACTAGGACAGACTGAGAAAAATATCTGGAATGACCCATGCAAGCCTGAAACAGAGCAGCCCATGGGCAGGAACCTAAAGGCACGGCCCCGGTGGTGTTAAGGGAGCCTTGGTGCCATCCAAATCTTCCACATCTTTCCTTGCAGTTCCAGCCAGCCCAGTCTCAAAGGAACTCCTTCAGTTACAGGAGGGGGAGAACCATCTATGAAGCACCTCCTATTCCAAGTGGAAGCTACATGATGGGGTTAAAAGAGCTGTTCTTCTCAAAAGGCCTCGAGCCTTTTGCTCAGACTTTGAAATCTCAGAGCTACCAAAGACCTGCTGGTACATGTGTGGGCCAAGCCAGGTACTTCTAAAATTCCTCTCAATACAAGAGCCTCTCAATACAGAAATTTCTTTCTAAAATTCACAGCGTGGTCAGCACTCGAACTTCAGTCTCCCCTTTCTCCTCTTCTGCTGCAACAAGACAGAGGGACGACTAGTTGCCCTTGAATTATTCCAATGGTAGAATCAGAAAGAGATACTTAAACAACTTTTTTTCTTCTTCTTCTGTAAACTCCTTTTTTATCACACAGCTATTTCGATCTGAGGCCACAGATTAATCTTCATATCGCCCCAAGTTGAAAACATTTATAGAACAGAAAAATTTGCTTGTTAAACTGATGATTAGGAAAAATTTAGAATATATTTCTAAAGTCCCTTAGAGTAATAAAGTGCTCACATAGAAACAACTTTTTATATCCTGGAAAAGCTACAACCAGGAGAAGATAACATAGATGAATGGGACCTTCTAAGACTCAAATCCCTATGCACATCCAAAAACTGACTGGGAAAAAGTATTCGGTAGTAACATATCAGATAAGGGACTTATATCCAGAATTTATGAAATACTTGAGCACCACAACAAGATAAAGGT